TATTCAAAGAAAATATAAGAATAAAACGATATTGATATAATATGATCTACAAAAAATACAAAAATAAGAGAAACGAAACAGAAAAGTAACACGATGTAAAATAACACAAGTCAAAATAATAAAAAATACCAAAAATTGACAGTATAAAACTCAAAATAAATTAACACATATAAAAATTGTAGAATACACTGAAACATAAATACTTACTAACAATACTAACTCTCACAAACATACTACTAGATAAAGAAGTATAATATATAAAAACAAAAACTATGAAAGGTAAAATAGGTATATAAGCAAATGAAAACATAAGAAGGGCATAATTCGGTATAATAAAAACACCGATATATTTTAGATAAACATGGTTACATAGTTGATACTAGAAAGAATGAATGACTATAAATCAATAAAAATAACATCGTAAATATAATAATCTATGTAAATACACTATAATGAAAAAAATAGTAATTATAAAAAAGTAAAACACAACACAAGTAACCAAATCGATGAAAAGAGAATGAACAACAACAATGACACAATAAAAGATATAAATATCTAAAAATATCATAAAATAAATACTGAAAATAACACGCGTATACAATGTATATTGTCACAATGATAAAATAATACATATTGAAAACAAAGCAAACAACAACAAATATGCAAATACACTATAAACAAACCATGAATAAAAACTATACATACCCACATACGCATATTAAAATTACCTCTTATTTTAATTATAAAAGGATAATAATTAATGATACGAGATAATGTAACAACATAGATAATTAATAACTCAACTCCAACCTAACAATATGAATAAATGTTTGAATATCAAAACATAAAAACATTACTCTTAGAAATAACGAAACCAATTGTGAACATACTAAAATAATCTAACAAGGCAAAACTGACTGATAGAAAACTATATATTGAAAATGTATAAGTAATGATATATATTTTTAATGAAAAACACACAATATAACAATGTGTATGATATATAAAATAATATAATAAATAATACAAAAATCAATACAATCAACGATATATAAGTCAAATCAAAGAAAAATAGTTGTAAAAATAATAACATATAAAAGAATGACCGATACGAGGAAGATGAATTATAGGAAGAGAGCGTGTAATCACGAAGCGATGAGATAGGAACCGAGGGAAACTCGGGAGTCAAAGAGTGATAAGATAGGGACGAAACGAAATCTATCAGGAAAATAGGATAAGGGCTCAAGAATAGTCTCACGGATGAAATATAATATGTATCTAAATTGTATATCATATTCTTACAAGTGAGGACTCGGGACCGTGATCGGAACCGTGACCTGCATGGGCCACCACTAAAACCTGTCACGCCCCGCTTCCCAAAATACCCGGAAATCGGAACGTGAACAAGCCCGCGACGTATTAGATTGAGAAGAAATATACGCTATTTTTTTTCTTTTTCTTTTCTTCTCAATCTAATACGCTAAGCGTCTGGAAAAATACAATGCGAAGTCACAGGTCCCCGATCACAATCAGCAAGAATATAATAGACAAACTTAGAATAAAATAATATATATCACAGATGAATATCATCCAAGATAGAAAAATACGGGTCAACATGCCCTTATACAAAATGAACCAATGAATACTGGAGAAATATAAAATACAATGATCAAGCGGAAAGGAAATGCTACAAAAGCAAACTGAAAGGAAAACTAAGCTTCAATTTCTTCTGCTCGGTCTACAAAGCACTCCTACTGAGAATCCTCTGGCTCTGGCGTATCTCCAAGCTGGACATGTTCTTCCTCTAAGTCTGACTTACACCAGAGAAAACAGGTGTACGTCAGGGTGCATGGCACACGGCAAGACCCCACAAAAGAAAAGAACGAACGAAAACCCAAGCAGAAAATGATACGATAACCGAAACGACAAAAGAACGTGCAACTAGTAATCCAATAAAATCACATGCAATCCACTACCAAAACATGATAATCATAAGAATCTGTAAATCAATCGGGTAACGAAATCATGCAGCTAGCGATCAGAATAATCATCCAAGTCACAAGGTCATACAACTAGATGAAATTAATATTTAAAAATCTAAAACTTAAGACGTAGTACGTCGAGCGAAATAATCCAAACAAGGAAACCCTCATGTATATACCATATGTCTTGAATTGTAGAAAATTAAATATTAGACCCAATCTATGTATGGAAAGAAACACAACTGGCCTACATCTCACAAGAATCCATAAATCCTAACCAAAGTGACGACACCGATTCACCTTGACCCAACAATCCAACCCCAGTGGCGGCACCGATCCACTAGTAACAAGTCATGTAACTAGCCATCCTATAACAGGTCACTGGCACATATCTTACTCAGAGTCAACGCTCATATCATCAGATAACTGACTGTTCGCATATCCCCCACGTGCATCCAATCAAATAAATTCATGAACCAAAGTAGAGACACCGATCTACTTTGACCTAACCAATCAGCCCCCAGTGGCGACACCGATCCACTGTGACTCAACATACCAACCCCAGTAGCGACACCGATCCACTGGTACGAACCTGGAAGATATATCAACAGTCTTATCCAATTACATGAACCATGACTTCCACATCCCAACTCTTCTCGCTTTTCTAAGACAACAACACACGAGTCCCTAAGTCTTACTCACGTCACACATGTCATTCTAGTCATAAACTCCTAACGATTCTCAATCACAACAAGGAACAATCAATGCAACTAATCATGTACAATAATATTATAGCATATCAGATAATCAAGATTAAGAATTTGAATCATAAAATTGTTCTAAAATAATATTCTAAAATAATAAATTTATTTACTTTAAAATAATTCCTTTTACAATTTAAATTCTTTTAATTTAATTTCAAAATAATCCATTTTTCCAAATTAAGTTCTTTTGTCATTATAATAATTCTAAAAATAATCTTTTAAATAATAAAATTCATAAATTCAAAAACAAGATAAATTCTCATTAATTCAAAATATTCTATTTTCCCAAATAATTTCTTTTTAAAAATATTTATCATTCCCAAATAATTTCTTTTTAAAAATGTTCATCATTCTAAAATAATTTCTTCCACAAGATAATTTCTAAAAATTATTATTATTATTCTAAAATGATTCTTTTTCCAAAATAATTCCTTTTAAATTATTATAATTTTCCTAAAATAATTTCATTCTCAAATAAATTATTTTTAATTGATATAATTATCCAAAAATAATTCCATTGCCGAAATAAATTCTTTTTATTTATTATAATTATTCTAAAAATACTATTTATCACATAATTACGTTTTATCTAATATTATTCATCAAACAATCCCATGCAGATAAATATATCAGATCTAAAATTATAGATAATTTATAATAGATATAAAATTCAGATCTGAGCAAGTGAGATCTTGCCTCGGGTTCGTCGAACGGATCAACGTCGACGTGCGAGTCCACGGCGAGCGTCGGGTGAGGCATGACGACAACGACGGAGATGAAGGGGCTGCGGGGCTCGGCTTTGAAGGCGGCGACGACGACGGGTTCGACGACAAGGGCTCCGCGGTTCGTCGGGATGGTCAGGGAAGAGTCGGTGGCATGGCGTGAGGAGTAACCGACAGCATCGCTATAGTGGGCAGGCGAGAGCTCGGGGGTTAACTGCGTCGGCGAAGAGGGACTGACGGGCTCGAGGGGCAGCAGGCCGGGTGAGGGAGAGTGTGGAGCTCGGGTGGTGGAAGCGGCGGAGGCGAGTGGATGCGGGGAGAGAGCGGCGTGGGGTGCTGCTCGGGTGGTGGAAGAGTGAGGGGGAGCTGGAGTTTCGACGGGCGTGACGTTTGAGGAGGTGACGGAGGCCAGAGTGGCGGCTAGTGACGGGGAGAGGGGGTGGCGGATGATGGTGCTGATTGTGGGGGCTTCGAGGAGGAGTAGCTCGTGAGAGGGCGGTGACTCAGGCAGAGTTCGGGCGTCAAATGGCGAGCTGGCTTGGTGCGACAGAGCTCAAGTTTCGGAGGCTTGAGCTGTTTGGGTGGCGGGGTTGCGACGAGAGAAGGGAGGGCACGGGCATCCGGAGGCTCGGATAGTAGGGCGGAGGGCTGGAGGCAGGCTGGTGCGGAGAGAAGGAGGGGAGGAGGATAGGTGCAGACGGTCGAACGGAGCTAGGGGTGTAGGGCGGTCGACGAGGCTGGCGGCAGGTCGGTGTTGACAGCGGGTGAGAGGCGGGTTTGAGGAGGAAAGGGGGCGACGAAAGATGGTGGTACGGGAGGAGCGGACGGTTTGGTGTCGGGTTCAGAAGATGGAGGCGTTCGGGTGGTCGCTAGGAGCTCAGCGGAGGTTGACAGGACAGGAGGGAGAGAGGCGGAGGAAAAGATGTGAGGGGGTAATGTGAGACGAGAAGGGGGAGAGAGGCGAGAGAGATTGAGTGAGAAAGAGAGAGGGAGACTTTTGAGGAGTGGGGGAATCACGAGGAGGGATTTGGGGAGAAAATCACGGAGTAGTGGGGTGAGTTGTCGTGAGGTGAGGGAGAGAGAGGTTGATGAAGAGAGAGAGAAACAGAGTGAAATACCGGTGAAAGGGAAAATACAGGGAAAATACTCCTTTAAAAAATAATTAAAATACTAAAAATTTATTCAAATAAATATTAAAAATTTATGGTCAAAATAATAATGACAATAGCAATAATGAATAATTAACTATTAATTCAAAAAGTTTTACCGAAAAAATTAAATTTATAATTAGCAAAATTATTAAAATAAATATAAAATCGTATTTTAAATCATAGAAAATTCTAGAGAGATTGGGGAAAATACAAATATTATTTTAGAAAAATAATATTTAACGTTTAAACACCAGAAAAATTATTTAAGCCAGTATTAAAAATTTACGGTCATTACACATTCTATAGATAAAGTAATTGGTGAAGAATTAAATTTTTGATAGAGAACAACTAAGAGAAGAACATGACAAGCTCTTTAAAGGAATGAATATCCAGCAGAGGAGAGTCTATGATGAGGTAATTGAGTCAGTAATTAACAAGACAGGTGGACTATACTTTTTGTATGGACATGGAGGAACTAGGAAAACTTATGTTTGGAACTCCATAATAACAAGACTCAGATTTGAAGGAAAAATTATTTTAGCTATTGCATCATATGGCATAGCATATGTTCTATTACCTAAAGGAAGAACGACTCATTCAAGGTTTCAAATTCTAAATTTATTGAAAGAATATTCAACATGCGTAATCAAACTAGGAACTCCTGAAACAAATTTGGTGAAGAATTCAAGTTTAATTATATGGGATGAGGAACCAATGGTTCACATGCATGCTTTTGAAGCGGTAGATCGTACATTACGAGACATTTTTGGAAGAAAAGATGAATTGGCTCAAATCAAACCATTTGGAGGATTAACAGTGGTTCTGGGTGGAGATTTTAGGCAAATATTACCAGTATTGCCAAGAGGTAACAAGCATGACATATTGAATGCATCCATTAGCAGTTCTAGATTATGGAATAAATGCAAATTATTTGCTTTGACACAGAACATGAGGCTACAACAAATAGAATATGAAGACAATGACATGCTAATAGATGATTTCGGTAAATGGGTGCTTAATCTTGGAAATGGTGACTTACAATAAATAGAAGATGCATCTAACAGTGATGAGCCGTTAATTAAGATAACAAAAGAATTCATTATTCATTCAACTAGAGAGCTGATGGATGATATTATATCTCAGATTTATCCAAATATGCTAGAAAACTTTTCTAATGCAGACTATTTACAAGAGAGAGCAATCTTGACTCTGAGGAATGGAAATGTAGATATTATAAATGATACCATTCAAGAAAAAATACAAGGTGAAGAAGTTACTTATTTAAGCTCGAATTCCATTTGCGCCACTTCTCCAAATCTACAGGAAAATGAAGCAAGCTACCTAATAGAATTCCTCAACTCATTAACATTTCCTGGTATGCCAAATCATGAAATAAAGCTAAAAATTGGGACTCCAATTATGTTGCTGAGTAACCTAAGTCCAGCAGAAGGTCTTTACAATGACACAAGAATGATAATAACACAATTGCTGAAATAGATTATAGAAGCAAGAATAATCAGTAGGACCAATATTGGAACAAAGCACTTCATTCCAAGATGTGTTTTGACAAACAAAGATTCAAAGTGGTCATTCCACATGAAGAGAAGGCAATTTCCAATTAGACCATCTTTTGCGATGACAATAAATAAAAGCCAAGGACAAACATTAAATTTTGTGGGATTGTACCTTCCAAAGCTATGTTTTACACATGGTCAGTTGTATGTTGCTGTCTCCAGAGTAACTTCATCGAGAGGGCTTAAGATTTTGATAGAGAACGAGGAAAAACAAAGTGAAAACTTTACAAAGAATATTGTTTACAAAGAAATTTTCAACAACTTACAAACATGTATAAGTTTCAAACGTTGTATTAATTTAATTTTATAATATTGAATACTAGCTTTTGAACCATTATATGTAACTCTTTATTTCTTCAGTATGACATTAAATGCTATAAATGATATGTGCATTAATAAAAATTGCACGAGATTTATTTGTTATATCACTACACTATCTCACATATTTACAATGATATAATTATATTGCCTTGCTGATGAAATTAATATTTTGATGTAGATTAAAATACACGCACAAGTTGCTTGCTACATAGACAACCATCAGTTTTTTAACTGACAAAGACAATGATGCAATTGTTAAAGTAGAGGTAAGTACAATTTCAAAATAATGGAAGAGCCAATGCTAAAAAAGTTAGAGGCTAAAACAGGTGGTGGAAGTGTCCCTATCGCAATGTTATCCCCTACACAAATTGTAAAATGAATGATCTCTTAATTCATGCGCACGATGTTCGTAGCAATGGGTCAGTGCCCAACATTGGTAAAGACGGGATTGACAAGCACCGTGAAGTAGAAATTTATTTACTTTGGTTAGATCAAAATCAATGATCTAAACAAATCATGTAGCACTTTGCTAATTTTATGTCGTGATTTGATATTTTCTTGTAGTAAGTTGACTCAGCTTTTGCTCCTTTACCCAAATTGATTGCCTTAATTAAAACATATAACATCACATAGATTGCATTCTAATAACGTAGTAAAGAACACCTCATCTTAGTATGAACATTGTAAATCACTTTGCAATCTCATTTTATTGACCATCATCAATATCAAAAGCTCAAAGTGAGTTCAAACAAGCTCGAAAACTACAAAATATGAATTACAAAAACAACAACAACAACTCAAACAGAGCAATAAACTGAAACAAAAACATCACAAAATAAAGCTAAACAAGCTCAAAATCAGCATCAAAGTATCAAAAACAGCAGCTATTCCCACACAACATAGAGCTAAACAAGCTCGAAATCAGCTTGAATATAACAAAAACAACAACACCCGCTCAAACAGAGCTCAAAACCGAGTCAAAAATATCTCAAATTAGAGCTAAAGAAGCTCCAAATCAGGATAAATATATCAAAATAAACACCACCAACTCAAACAAAGCTCATAACTGAACCTACTTACACAAAATACAAAGCTAAACAAGCTCGAAATCAACATGATCACATCAAAAATGACACCGGCTCAAAATAGAACTAGTTCCCACATAAAATAGAGCTAAACAAGCTCGAAATCGACATGAAAATATCAAAATCAACATCACCAGCTCAAACAATGCTCAGAACCAAACCTATTTACACAAAATATAGAGCTAAACATGCCCGAAATCGGAATGATAACGTCAAAAATAGCACCGGGAACTCAAACAGAGCTCAAAATAGAACCAATTGCTACACAAAATATAGCTAAACAAGCTCAAAATCAGCTCCAGAATCCATGATTACTTACTACGGCCCAGGATATTAATAGACTGGTCATAATAGATTGCCTCGCCTATAAAACTATGATGTAATGTAGGCTGCTATTATGAGGGATTACCAAAACCAAACATTGTAATACCAATGTAGGTTGCATTCCACACAAAATTACCTCGCCTAAACATTACATAATTAATATTGGTTGCATTCTCAGTTTGCTATCACCATCATCATTGCCCATCTAAAAAAACATAAACAAAAAGAACTCATACCATAATTGAGTACCAAAGAAAGCCATCCATCATTAAGGCCAAACCAAGCATTGCATACCACAAGAAGTGTAAAACCCTGTACATTTTTATAATTTATATATGTGATTATTAGTGAAAAATAATGTTTATTTATGATAAATGTCTTTATGTCATGGTTGTGCATGATAACTAGTGTTTTGAGTTTATGTGAATGTATATATGCATCAGGTTTGAGGTTGAGTTTTGCAAATTTGCAAAATCATGCACAGGCAGAAATAGAGTCTGTTCGATTGACCGCGAGTCGACTGATGATCCCAGTCGACTGTGAGTCGACTGATGGGTTCGGTCGACCCTGAGTCGACTGATGGCTGATTTCCAGGTTTTTGCAGTTCGGGTCTGTTTGGGTATGGGTTCGGTCGACCCTGAGTCGACTGATGGCTGATTTCCAGGTTTTTGCAGTTCGGGTCTGTTTGGGTTTTCGGGTCGGGTTTTAACTATTGGTATTTATCTCTTTTACCCGAGAAAGACACCCTTTCATCAGTTCTCCCCAGAAACCCTAGCCCCCTTTCCCCTTTAAAACCCTAGCTTCGGATTTTGGGCGTTTTTGGGAGATTTTTGGGGATTTTCAGCAGCTTCTTGTGGTTTGCAGCGAAGGGAGTCGTTCTTCAACACACCAGAGGCGAGTAGCATCTCGACTAATCCCTCTCCCATGTTTTTAAGAGTTTTTAAATATTTTTCATGAGATTTATTGAGCCTAAGAATTATTTTCAAGTATAAATCGATGTTCTTATTAGTGTAGATGCTAAAAATCATGTGTTTCGGATCTCCAAATCCTCACCAACGAATCTTTGATGAAACCCAGATCTGGAAATTTATTTAAAAACGAGTTTCTATATTGATTAAATGCTCTCATACATATTTAGGGATTAAATGTTAGATCTAACATTTAAGATTTTGTTTTCCATGTTTTATACGAATTTTTCATTGTCTCATATGTTTAGAATTGATAATACAATGCTTGAGTTTGATGAATTTGATTTTTAGATGAATTTTTGCATAAATAACACAGCATGCACGAACAGGGAAAACCCATCTGTTCAGTCGACTGAGAGTCGACCGATGACCCCAGTCGACTGTGAGTCGACTGATGACCCCAGTATGAGTCGACTGTCGGGTTTTAGTTTTGTTCTTCTTTCGGTCGACCATGAGTCGACTGGTGATCCCAGTCGACCACGAGTCTACTGATGATCCCAGTCGACTGTGAGTCGACTGACGAGTGATTTATTTTCTTTTTTATGTTTAACCACCTGCTGTGTATATATATAGTGTATATATATTCAAGTGTACTGTTTATCATTTTGAGTACGAGGAGTCACCTCGTTTATCGGGTATTAATTTTAGTATTTATTGTTTCATCTACACATGTAAGATGGCACATTTGTCACAAGCTTAGATATGTACATTGAGACACGTGCAAGAATAGGATATGTATATCTTTAACATTAGCATTCCATGTTTTATATACACAGTCCTCGTGTTGGACTCTAATCCATTGAAGTCCTCGTGTTGGACTATAATCCATTTCAGTCCTCGTGTTGGACATTCACAAATCAGTCTATGTGTTGGATATTGGTTAGACCACGAGCATGATACTTAGCTGAATCAGGACATGACATGATTATATGAAGTTGAGACATGATAACTACTTAGGCTGGACATGACACTTATGTGGTTCCGACATGACTTTTATTTTACGTATTGTAATAGGTTGTCTCTTTTCTTTATTATTCTTGTATTAGATTTTGGGTTCTGTATTTAGGGATTTACAATTTGAGATATAAGGTATATACATGAGGGTTTTCTTGTTTGGATTATTTCGCTCGACGTACCTATGCTCGTGTTGTAGTTTCCTAAATACTAAAACCCTTTATTTGTTAGGAGTAATGATATGATTATTCTATGTATAAATCTGTATTTTCTTATACAACGAGCCTTTTCCCTTGGGGTTGGTTGTGATGTTGTTCGCTAGCTCTTTGACGCTCGTTGTCCCTCCCCCTTTCAGGTAACGATCCCGGAGCCTGGAGAATCGCAGGTTGATGGCGATGCACTTTAGTGTTCAGCTATCTATTATAGCTATGTTTTATTTTGGAGCTCCATTGTAGACTTTGTTTAGACATTTGAGGACTATATTCTAGATGTTGTAAAGACTGTGTGCCTTATTTCCTTTACTCAGACACTTGTATTTGAGATTTATTGAGAACTCCAGTTTATTTATTTCAGACATTTTCTTCGTATATCTGTATGACGGATGATGGAATATTTATTTGATCTTTATCATTTCATTAGTTATCTTTTGTATTACCTTTTACTTGCCTTTGTACCTACACCTATTATTGACTCTACTAGAGAGATGTTAATTATGATAGTGAAACATGTTATTGCACGGTGTGGTGTATGACAGGTTTGACATTCTTGGTTTCACCTTGGACTGCAGCCTTGTGTGAACCCAGGGGCGTCACAAGAAGCCAACAACCAATAACTCAATGTAAGCACAAATAGCCAACTATAACAATTAGCAAGAAGAATATAACCAAACACAAAGATTAGCTATATGAATTACAACATGTAAAGTTCGCAATTAACAAAATATATGTATATGTAGGCATTTACAAATTAGCATCATGAATTGCAACATCTAAAGTTTGCAATTAACAAAATATATAAGTTTGTGTGGGGATTTAGTAACTACCAACATTAATGCAAAAGTGTATGCAAATCACGTGAAGTAGCAAAATAGAGTGTTGTGTGTATAACATAACCAAAACAAAAGGATTACATTAATTAATCCATCAAAGGGTGGATGTATCCCAATCTCGGGCCGCTGCATTAATCCATCAAAAGTATATGCAAATCACATGAAGTCGGCGAAAACAAGCAATACTAAAGAGGGACCTCCAACAACAACATTCCACCATCAAACGCAACAGCTAGATTCCGCTCCATGTTAAAACCATGCCTTACTCTAAATTTTGAAGGAAAAATTTTAATAGTAGTCCATTGAACTTTAAGGACGTCAATGACATGACAAACGACAATGTTTAGGAAACAATCAATTAACTTTGTTATGCATGTCTAAATATATTATGTCTTCGTAATTTGAACAGCTACGAGCAAATGTTAAGTAATTTTTTCATGGTTACTTCTAATTACCATAAACTGTTACGATTATGCTAATAATTTACCTTTTCCTTTGCCTGAAATTTCCACAACATATAAATATATGTTCTCATATATTCATGGGAAGTGATGGTCAGGAATAAATTCAATAATAGAGAAATCAACTACTTACAAAGAGATTAACATGCAAAATAAATGGCACATACATGAACGACAACGGTAAAATGAATAATAACATGCAATAATAACATGCAAAAAAATTTGCAAAGAAATCAACTACTTACAAAGATATTAACATGTAAACTAACATTAAAATTAAAATGCAAAACTAAAAAAGTAAAATTTATTTCAATAATAGATAAATCAACTACTGATTATGGAAATAAAAAGGCTCAAGTAAAACAAGAAATTAGCACGAATGACAAATTCAATTGCTTACAAAGAGATGAACATGCAAATTAAAAAGGGCGGAGATCTTGAACAAAGATGCTGAATTTTGATGGATCAAACACGTAGTAATAAAATACACCATCAACTTCAAAGATTCAATATGTCACTAATCTTTGAATTGCATAAGAAGAAGGGATGGACAAAATTGGGGTTTTTCCTCAGAAGAAGGAATGTACTAAATTAGGGTTCTCTCCGAGGCAAGGAATCGACGAATCCAGAAAAGAGAATGACAAAAAGGGAAGGGATGGACTTAATGAAGGTTTTCTCCAAGGCAACGAATCGACGGGTCTAGAAAAGAGAACGACAAAGAGGGAAGGGATGAACTTAATGGGGGTTTTCTCCGAGGTAAGGAATTGACGGGTCTAGGGAAGGGATGGACTTAATGGGGGTTTTCTCCAAAGCAAGGAATTGACGGGTCTAGAAGAGAGAACGACAAATGTATAGGCTTTTACAAATAAGTCCTTGACGTATGAATAAATTACATATAATTCCACATGTTGTTGCAAAGTAAAGATTTTTCAATTAAATCAAATATTTTTTACAAAGGCGGTACAATTTGGTATTTATTGGCAAATAAGTCATTCCATTATAACATAATTAAGGTTTGCTTAAGTCTTTGCATTATTTCTTAGTAATATATAAATTGGTATTTACAATATATCATTTAATAATAATCAATAATTGATGAATTAAATGTATTATTAAAAAATTTTATTAAATTTATCCACATGGTGTATTTCGAGTTTCGAGGGTTAACAATATTATCCTGTACGCTAAAATCTACATGGTTGGACATAATATTGACGTTAATAGAACCTGATTTTAGACTAGCCCGTGCTTGGCACGGGCCTTGTAGAGAGTGATTAAGATATGTGCCAATAAAACCTAATCATTTACTGCTAGGGGTTTGCTAAAAAAAATAAGTTTTAACAAACATTGCATGTAATGTTTGTTATAAGAGGTAAACTTCATATTCATCATTTGGGTATTTGTAATTTTAATGTGGGAAAATGTTTTTCAATGCAAATTCAGTATCTGTGGTTGAAAAATAATCTACATAAAACCTATGTGATTATCATATAAGGAAATACATGCGTAGATGATTATTCTGCTAAGATTTGCAAAGATTTTCTTAAAGAGGTGGAATTAATTTTTATTTTTATTTTAGAAATTTTCATTTTTGAGTTTGCAGCTTTTCCTTCCACTAATTTGGCTATAATTTTTTTTGTAGTTTTTTTTACAAATTCTAATCTTATTTATTTTCTTGACTAGAATGCTACAAACCAAACAATTGAAATATTAATCTAGGTGCAATATTTATTTCTGCAGCTTCATTTCCTTACAAACTAACAACCCCTTTATAATCTGTATTGTTTGTTGCAAAGCAAAGTGATTGTAACATTTAGGGTGGCGTTTGGTACACTGTAATTGTAAATTGCAACAAATATTGCATATAGGAAATGTTGCATGCGGTATTTGTTACATGAAATTTACCTCAAATCCTTTGTTTGGATTTCGACCCATTTGCAATTAATTCACCAATTTCGACTTGGTTTCAGCCAGCTGGCTGAAACTGGATCAAAAATGGTAAATAAAACTTCACGGGATTCTAAATCCCTTGAAGTTTAGTTCTTAATTACCTACCCTAATCAAAATACAACTAGCCTAAGCTTAATAACCACCAAACTAAGCTTAATGAGATTTAGAATCCGTTTTCGAAACTTTTTTTTACTATTTTCGACCCAGTTTCAACCAGGTGGTAGAAACTGGGTCGAAAATGGTAATTAAATCTCAAATGGGTCGTTTTTAAGATTAAATTTCTAATAGGTTCTATTTTAAAAATTTGTCCTTATTAGTGGTAGGTAGGACAAAAAATAGTATGGGAGTTACGGTACAAGTATCATTTTCATTTTAGGGCTTGTTTGGTTATTTCCTAAAAAACCAAGAAAACTCAAAAAGTACAATTTCATCCATTTTTATCCCTCAAACCCACCCACAACATCTAATAAAATATTATTTTTATCCAACAACTCATCCACCACATCTAATAAAATATTATTTTCATCCACAACATCACTCAACTCATCTCATCTCATCATTTCAAATCACTCACATCATCCAATAAGGTGGTGATAACTCATCTCATCACATTAATATTTCATTTCCACCCATTTCCTCCCAAAAAGCTAGGAAAACAATTTCCTTAAGTGTGGGTCACATCATCCAATAATATAATAACAACTCATCCCATCTCATCTATTTTCTTAGTTTTAAGAATGAACCAAACAAAAGAAAACAATCTATTAAAAGAAATAGATTTCTTATAATTCATTTCCTTATTTTTTTTCGCCAACCAAACAACATCAAAACAAGTTTTCTTAAAAAAATCACTCACATCATCCTATAATAAGGTGACAACTCATCTCATCTCATCTCTATTTCTTTGATTTTATTCTTTTTTTAGCAAACCAAACACTCCCAAAATAATTCTTCTTATAAATAGTTTTTCATTTCTTTGATTTCCCACTTTTTTTTAGGCAAACAAACAGACCCTTAATCCATTTCCGTGATCAGCGAAATATACCTCTTCTTTCAAAATGTGAAGGAACAGGGCCAAACAGTATGAAATATCTCCACGCGTCCTCGCCAGCTCTTATCCCTCACTCTCACTCGCACGCGCCCTTCCTCAACGAGAACCGATGCTCCCTCCACTCCCACAGCCTCCTCGCCCTGTCCCATCCTTCCTCTTTCTCCTCCTCCCCTCACCCTCCTCTCCACCCCTATCCTTGCACCCCAACTCCCTCCCCCGGCCCCAATTCCCCTCCCTCAGCGGCCGCAGCCACCACCAGGAACCGCCCTATACCAGAATCGCATGGGCCCCCATTCGAGCTGCCTCCTCCTGCTCCCCTACCACCATCTTTCGCCCCTCGACGCATCAACCCCTCCCCTCTCCAAGGTCTCCACCAGCCGTCCTGCTCACCGCGCAGCCATCTCCGTCTTTCCTCTTCGCACTCCTCCGCCGCCAGCGCCCGCCGCGCCAAGGAACTCGTAATCGTAACCCTACCCTTCAAACCCCACTTCTTGATTCCTTCGCACTATCATCTTATGTATGTATATATATTCTATGTAACTGTTTGTGTTTAGAGGGTGAGGTCCACGGGGGTGCAGAAGACCAAGGATATAAAGGAGGAGGCGCTGGAGAGCCTCAAGGCCATGGGGGCCGCCTCCGTCGAGGCCGGCCGGCCCCCTTCGCCTGTCCAGGCCTTCTTGGGTGGGATTGCTGCAGGGGCAATTGCCCTCATTCTTTACAAGTTCACCACCACCATTGAGGCTGCCCTTAATCGCCAGACTATCTCCGATAATTTCTCGGTCAGTGTTGCTTACCTCTTTTCATTTCAATAATCACATTGAATCGCGAGCGCGTTTAAGTTAATAACTGAAGAAATTAGATCGCGTTAAAATTTTTAGTAGAATTTCGACTTGGATCTTGACATCATTTTTCAAGCTAAGGTACATTCTGTTCAAGGGTAGACGATTTGTGAGTTGTACAGCGTGCAGTCAATTTGGAGTTGCAAGTGCTTCAGCCAACAATCTGAATACCCCAAATCTGGATTATTTCCACGAGAACATTGATGATAGGTTGAACTTCCTCCCATGGAAAGACCCTCATCTAATAACTTAGTCTTATATTTTCTGAAAGAGAGAGACTTGTTCAAATCGTCACCATCATTCAAACTGTACAAAGTCACAGGACTCACGAGTCACAACTTACTACACACAAGAGTTGAGATTTCTTATTCATATATCTTGGTTGAAAGTCAATGTTCGGGATAACAGACTAAACTAAGGGATGAAGTACCAACAGACCCTAAAAATTTGGGATAAAGACTTTGTTGTTGTTGTTGTTGTATTTTCTATGTTCTTGGAAGAGCAGGACTACTAGAAGTCAAATTATCCTCTACAATAGAAGTTTGATTATGTTGCAACATTTGTTTGAAGAGTGCCGATAGGAAGTGCAGATGGTGGGTTTGACGGAGCATCTTAGCGTCAAAGCTTCCAAAAGTTCCTTGGTTTCAAGATACTTATTGGTTGGGTTATTGTGCCAATGAGAACACAGATGGCTAGCAACTATGTGTACACTCTACTTCTTTGAATAGGCTCACACTGTTATGATCTAGTTGATAATGGTGTTGATGCAGCATTCCAGTTTAAAAGAATTTTGCTCCATTTTATTTATGGAGTCACGTAGATAAGGAGTTTCAAACATAAGCAATGAAGACAGTCATACATTCCGCAGACATGCTGTTGAAATCGTTCTTGCTTCTGTTTCCTTAATGCAGATGGCAAACAACCTAATCCACCACATCCTTCTGCTAGTTTTCGTCCGTGGAGAATGAAAATGTTACTTCCACAAGGGATTGAATAACTGAAAAGTTACATCTAAAACAAGCTAGTTGGCTCCTTTGCATGTACGATGAGTAGAAAATGATTGAGAAAAACACAACTTACTGCATGTGTCATGGTAATATATTTGTGGCTTTAGCAAAAAACGGATGTAGGCATATAAAATTGCTCATAGGTCCCTTAGCTCAGCTCGGCACAAACCGACAAACCAACGAGATTGACTAATCGCACGCAAGCAACGGAATACGTCCATTCGCGTGCGGGATCAAGCCAAGTGTTCGAAGAGTCAACGAGACATCCAACCAAGGGGATACTCGGACGAATCACGATCGAATCAAGATCGATTTCGGACTCGAACTCAGAAGTAGATTTACTGCTTAATCGGGATCCGGATTTACTGCCAAATCAGATCAACGAATCAAGTCTGGATAAATCAACCACAAAATCGAATCCGAACCTATCAACCGCAGAACCGGAAAACGGGCACAAAGAGGCAAAACGACAAACACCTGGAGGTCGGCTCACCGAGCCACCTTGTGGTGGCTCGGCGGCCACCAAGGTGGCTCGGCCACCAAGCCACTTGTGGCCGGCCACCCTGTGCCCAAGGCACAGTGAGGGTAGCCTATAAATAGGCCACCCCCTTGTTCATTTGAGAAGGTTGGATTTTGGAGGAGGCGAAGCCCTGCAGGATTGGAGACTCAGATCTAAAAAAAGATCTCAACTTTGGGACATCAAGGACTTGCTCATCCAGATCTGGTGCTCGGCGATCATCAACGTCAAATAAGGCAGGTGTTCGAGAGGATCGGATCTCAGATCTACGCAGGCATACTCCGGATCTAAGCTTGGTCTTAGATACCGAGGTTTGGACGATTGTTTCCTTGGTGAAACAATCCTCCCCGGCTATTATTTCCTTGGTGAAATAATACCCGTTGTACTGCGTAGATCCGACCGGATCTAGATCGCGCGGTGGTCCACGGCAAACAACCCCGGCGCAGGCAAACAACCCACAAAGCGAGCGACCGCAAAACAGGAGCTCGTGATTCGTTCGACAAACAAGGAAACAAAGTTGTAATTTTCATTTCTTTTCAATTTGATTTTCGTTGTAACCGGATCTTATAAAAAGACCGGATCTTTGTAATCGATAGACTATTACAAGAGTGTACAATGGAATCATTAATGAAGAAAGCAACAATTTTTCCAGCGAACAATCTGGCGACCACAGTGGGAGCCACCGATCTCGCTGCCGAGATCGGAGCGTCGCAGCCACGGATTCAGATCCCAGTCGTGGAGGAGGTCGAATACGAGTTCGATCAGACCAAGTTCGAGGAATACCTTTCATCCTCGTCTAGATCAACCTCCCCCCGCAAGTCCAAGAAGTCCAAGTTCTCCCCCAGGAGAAAAACTCGTTGGTTTGAAGAAGTCGAAGCCACCAACGAAGATCTCGCCCCGTTTGATGCCAAAGTCGCATCGGGTGAGATTCCTCCAGTTTCCAACCAGGTCAGATCTGCTCTGGCCAACTCTTCTGCCACAGAGGGCGTGGTGACTCTCTCGAAGAGAGCCCGCCAAAGGCAACGTCAACACCTTGCAAAACGATTCGCAAAGGCCATGGAGTCCGTTGACGGGATCCGCTACAACACGGATCTGAAGAACAAAAGAGGCAAACAGCCTCAACAACAGATGAACGGCACCTCTTCCAAGCCGCCAACAATGGAATGGATCCGTGTCAAACAGAATCGTTCGACGCTGGAAGAACGCATCCGCAAACGCCGCGCACTATCAGCGCAGGCACGGGCTCAAGCTGAAGAAGCCCGTAGAAAGCTGCAGAAAGAGGTAGCCAAGAAGCCGCCACCAACTCGCAAAGTTTGGAGGCCAAAGTCTGAAGCGGCAATTCAGGCTAAGGAGCAACCTTTGCAGCCTCCAACCAAAGTTCAACCTCCGGCGAACCAAGCTAAGCCGCCGAGAATTCCCATAGCTACTCCGGGAGATCATGCCGAATCCTCCCGAAGAAGAAAGTCAGTCTTGGAGCGCCTCGGTCCACTTCCCGAGGAGCGAAGCAAAGCTCCGATCCAAGAACGTTTGGGCCCACTAAGAAAACCCCGAACGAATCAACACGCTGGGGGTCACCGCTACCTCCAACATGACAAGGAGCTCAAGGCAACTGCGCGCGCTAATTTGCGCATTGAGGTCCAAGAGCCCGCTGAGAATTCACGCCCAAAAAGGCATGTCTCAAGGCGCGTGACTCTTGAAAGTCCAAGGAAGGCAATTCTCCCTCAGAAGGAAACGTTATCATCTGATGATGATTACGTTATACCTGAGAAATCGTGCCAACACACGATAGGTTGCTCTGACTTTCAAACGGACGAGCTGTACTATCGTGCTGGGGGTACGAACAAAGCCAGAAAGAGAAGTTCTCGAAGGCTAGAAACTCAGTGCCCTTGTTCAAAGCTCATTCGGGCGGTACTGTCTGAGTGCAACTGCATCAAGGTAGTCCCAGAGAGAATCTCAGTGTTCGAAAGGCTTAATACCGAAACGCCAAAACCAAGGCATAGGCGTTTCCGGCAAAGAAGAACGGTGGTTAAAGACGGAGAATTTCCGAGGGTCACCGCCAACATGACCAGCAAAGAGACATCGACACAGGTTAATCTCAAGTCGTTTCTGGAAGCATCTCGGCGTGTAACCCGTCTGCAGTCCGGAGCCATCGCACGAGGAACTTATGGTAGGGTTCGGACAAGATTGCCTTCGGAAGATGAAGAATCGGATTCCTGCTCTGCTGTCGCATCGGACAATACAGTGTCCAGCGAAGGACAACCCCGCGAGTCATTTATGATAAGCGCGGAAGAAATGGCCAAGATGCTTGAAGACGCTTTGGCTAAGCAGAAAGAAAGCTTCAGGTTCGAGATGCAGATGGCCATGCAGACTATGAGAGAGATGCATGAGCAACAAATCCAGGCATTCAGGAACCAACAAGGTGAACCAAGTCACCGTAATCAGGTTGTTCAGGAAGAAGAGCACACGGATAGGGATGGAGCTCACAATGCCAATAACCCTCCCGTCAATGCAGGGGGTGGTAACGAGGATGCCAACGAGGATACAAGTGAAGACTTGAAGATCAAAGATCTCGAGAGCAAAATCAACACATTGATCTCCGCTCAAGAGACGAAGAAAACAGGCATTCCCTGTCCATACCCAAGAGAGTGGGAATCGATCCCCTATCCGGCGAAGTTCAGTTTAATCAACTTCACGCCGTTCGATGGGAAGGGTTCCCCCACTCAGCATTTGATTTATTTCAAATCGCACTTGGGTATTATCTCCGGCAATGAGCCTCTGATGGTGCGGTCATTCGTTGGCACTCTTCGCGGAGCCGCCTTCGATTGGTATCGCCGCCTCAAGCCAAGTAGCGTGAACAGCTGGGACGATATGGAGACCATGTTCCTCGCCAACTTCTTCGACGACGACACCGAGATATCTATCGGATCGTTGCTCGACGAGAAACAAAAGGACGGGGAGTTAGTCGACACCTTCGTCAAAAGGTTCCGGAACAAGGCGATGAATTGCCGGGACCCGATCACAGAGGAATTCATCCTCCAAACTTGCCACAACAACCTTGCGTTGGACGTGTTGGAAGCAATGGGAACAGCACCGTCTGACACTTGGAAGGATCTGAAGGTGCGCGGTGAACAAGCCGAACGTTTCCTCCGAAGGAAGAAGGCCGAGAGGAACCTACCGACGGCTAATCCTCTGGACTCAAACTTCGCCTCTCGTGGTAAGGGCAAAACACCTGCAGCTACTGGTGGTGCTAATCAAGCGTCACAACAGCAATCCCGAAGGCAGCAAAAGACTTCGGGTCCGAGACTCCAAAGAGAGTATTCCTTCAAGGACGAAGACGTTCCAGCCATCTTCGAATCCCTCCTTGAAGGTAACAAGATCAAGCTACCACCTATCACAAATCAGGAGGAAGCTGACAA